GTCTCCTTTAATTATAGTTCCAATTTGTGTGTTTCTCCGGTAGCTCAGCGTTGACATCTGTGACTCTTCTTTCACAATCTCTCAGGGCATCTTGTGTCTAGACACAAGCTGCTGACAGTGGGATTGTAAACCAAATGTGCACCGATTCATCGCTTTATCAATCCTCAAATTATTATGGGTTGTTTTGTGTCAACTTGGTGAAAAATAAATTCTGTTCAGTTTAAAGATGACATAATTATATATATATATATATATATATATATATATTATTTATTTTATTTTTTTTAACTGAGATGAAAATGAAAACACAAAAACAGGTATTCTCATATAAGAGAACTGCATTGAAGAAAATCATCAGAACTTGCTCACTTTCAACAAGTGTGGGATTTCAAGGATCAGAGACTGTTTTCAGAAAACTTAGCATCAAATTCATACTCGTAATAACTAATTTCATGATGGGGAAAAAAATGTGCACATTCATACCGCCTTGCAAATTTTCCTTTATGGATCAAAATCAGTTTTAAATGAGTGCACTTTAGAGCACCGAACAGCCTGTGGAGTGCTTCAGAGTCTCTTTGCTCCTCTAAAAGATGATAAAATAAACAGCAGCTGCATGGATTCACATCATTCTCACAATATCTAAAAAAAACAAAAAAAAAAACATGACTACTCTATTAAAACAACCCTATTGTTCTATTTTATCTTGTTCAGGTTTGCATGGGGGCTTGAGTGTACTGAGGTTAAATCTACCTAGTGAGGTAAATCCTGGTTATACCAAGTTTATTACAGATAAAACCAACTGGGCGCTTTCTTACTCATAACTGGGATCAGTTTAGAATCAATAATTAGGCAACCATTTAGATGGTGTGAAAACAGTGACACTTTTCAAAGAAAACAGACATGGACGTCATGCAAACCCCACGCAGAAAAAAACAACAACAAAGTTTGCAGTTGTGTTGCTGTAACAAACCATTTCAACATCATGTATCTGCAGAAATTGATCAAACAAGCATGTTTTTATGGTTTACAATGAGTGCAGATGGTGAAAAAAATTAACCAAAGTTGGACATGCACACAACAGCTTCAATGCCTTATTAAATGATGCATATTATTATTATATTATTATTATTATTATTATTATTATTATTATTATTGCTGCCTACGGCACGGTTGCTAAGATGGAAGCTACATTGTTCGTGTGGATTAATTATTACAGAAAAAACATCACTTTGGATACCAACACCAAAGGTGAAACAACTCAGCAAGCAGTACTGAGCAAGAGACATAGTGATGTAAATGAGGGTGGGGGGACACAAACCCGAAACCGGACCTTTCAACCACTGAACTGCATTTAGCCCCATCAAGGGATGGTTCGACAATTTTCAAAAATTATTTGGATTAAAAAGTGTTTCTCTGCATGGAGAGGCTGTGTCCGCTAACACGGAAGGAGCAGAGGAGTTTGTTAACACAACGTTCAAAGAGCTGATCGTCGAGCCGGGGGTCTACAAATCTGAAGATTTTAACATGGATGAAACGGGCCTGTTCTAGAAAAGGATGTCATCTTGCACTTTTATTTTGAAGGACTAAGCTAAAGCCCCTGGTTTTATCCACCCGCTTCGAATTTTATCAGCCATTAAATGGCTGTTATTAGTTGTTATCATCCCCATATGTAGCGGTCAGACTGCCCCTCCTGCACCTCCTAGTGGGTTTAAAGGTATGTTGTTAGCGATGATGATGATAGGCTCCATTTTTAGCTTCGTTAGCGCTCATAATAGATTCACGTGGTTAGGTTTAGAGTAAAGGCTCTGGCGGTTAGGTTTAGGGTCTTGGTTAGGTTTAGGCACAAGGGTAAGGGGGGTTAAGTTTAGTGTTGGTCCTCTGGGTCAGGTGTAAGGTTAGGTTTAGGAAAAGGGTTACATAAGCTGAAAAAAAACAAAACAACACTTCCTGGATTACCCCCGTGCGACACTGCCTATTATCAGTGATAATAGCAATAATAACGATAATAACGTACCTTTAAAACTGCTAGGAAGTAGGTGGCACAGTCTCACCGCTACATATGGGGATGATAACAACTACTAATGGCCTATTAATGGGCTGATAACATCCAACATCCAAAGCCGCTCTTTCATCTCATCTTCATCACCTTCATTGTCACCACTGGACAGCTAATTCTTCATCTCCATTTCATCTTCATCTTTTCTGGTGAGTTTCCATTTAAAATTAATATATATTATTTTTTTTAAGTTTAAGAGTTTAGAAAATTGTTAGGAACATTGCAAGGGTGTGGGGTTTAAAACACAAAACATATAAAACTAAAATAAACTACTAGAAAGTACTTACTACTACTACCTGTGCACACAGTTTTGTTCCATCTCATGTACCACATGAAATGGTAATGACAATAACGTTTACAGTACTTGAACTTGAACTACTGTATCCCTACTTTGCGGCTTTTCACTTATCACGGGGGGATGGCACCTAAACCCTGCGATAAGTGAGGGACTACTGTACTGTATATTCATTTATACAGAGGAACCTGAAGGGGTGCTTTCAAATAAATGAAATATCCATGTAGACTAACCTCCTATTGTCTGATTCTACCCCCAAAGGACAAAAAAAATAAAATAATAAAAGTCCAGATCACTTCACTGACAACGTCCTTTGACATTTTTTGTAACAGACCAGTTCATGCGCTGTCTGTTTGACATTGTAGCCACTTTTGCTCATTATTTTTATGTGGCACTCTGTCTCTCTTATTCCATCTTTTTTATCAATCTTCCATGCTCACTCGACCATGTGACGAGAAGATGACTTGTCGTGCGCTGTCTGTTTCATCTCTGTCAAGCCAATCACTTCTGGCTGGGGCTCAAGGGGAAACATCTGTTGGTGGGAGTGAAACTAGACTTTGGCCAATGAATTGTTCACAGTTAACTGTCAGCAAAAATAAAACAAGAGAAAGAGAGAATGTGTGTGTGAGTCATAAGACAAGGGTAGCCATTAGGAATCAAAATATTCACAGTCACACCAAAACCCAACATACTAAATTATAAACAATAGGGGCCAAATGTACCGGTAAGTATAAAGTCTGAACAGCTGAATGCATCAACTTATGGATAAAACAGCTTTATTGTGCCCTGTTGAGACGCCTCAGGGGTTTCCAAGTTTAGCATAACAAAATGAATACCTAACCCTACAGATCTACACTTAGTGCTTTAGCATAAAGGTTATAGAATCTCTCCACCCACACCTTGAGCAGATGTACTTGACTTTAAATAGCCAATTTGATAATGTTAACAATGAGGTGCACTTCACCCTGAGGAAAGTTCATAAGGACAAGGGTAACAAAGAGCTCCTGTTTCAGTGGGAGGCTTATTATTATGGGGCATTACAACAGGGTCCACACAGACCTTGTTAGTGGGCACTTAACCATCTGTACACATTTCTCCACAAGAACATGTTTTTCACCCAGCCGTGCCTCATCTCTGTTCTGACCTCTACAAACGGAAGTGTCTATTCTAGCCCATTCATGCATACAGGCAGAATTCAAAATACCCTTCCTCACTTTAAACCGTGACCCCGCGAGAAATGTGCTGTCGCAAAATATTCAGAGCCGCAGAGAAAACCTGACTACGGAATATCAAAAGCTCCCATATGTCCACTTTCCCCCTCACTGTCCTCTTTTCCCGTTCTCATGTCTGGGGAAGGACATGTCTTGCAAGGCCAATGATTTAGTCTGACTGGAGACACCAGGAAATGAACAGGTCATCCTGGAGCCCCACTGTCTGATGGGTAATAAACCTCGTCATTGAAATGTGAGCAGAATGCAACAATTCCACTGAGGAAGCATTTGAATGCAACATGATGGACGTAATAAAAAGAAAATATTCCAAGAACACACTGACTATGTGTAAAGAATTAAGATAAAACATAATATATAAACTGATGCCTATTCCATACTAATGTGCCCAGTAAGATGTAAAATACGGAGTGTGGACTTTCCTTGCTATATGTAGTGCAGCAGTGTGTATAAGAAAATGTTAAATTATGACTGCTCCATTGGTGTTCAAATATACATGTCTCAGGAAAATATAAGTTGTATCTCACTGGGCTGCAAATGTTGGAGACTCAATATTGCAAAAAAAAAAAAAAAAAAAGACTTTCAATTGCAATCTGTCTAAATTCAGAGTATTTGATACGACAGGACCAGAAAGCCATTTGGCTGTGATTTGCCTTGCCAGATTAAAAATAAAAACACTACTTATTTGTGTGTGCAAAGGTTGCAAAACTGTATTCTAGACCATGAACGTTGTCTTTGCTTACCTCTGCCTACCCATTTGGTCTGCTTTACATTTGCCTTAGTAGCTGCCCCACATTTATGATTTCATCCACTGAAGTACACCTATGAAATGAAGGTAGGCAGATCTGGACCAGTTTATTTTTTTTTTCATTTTTATAATTATTTATTTTTGTGTAGTTTTTAGACCTGAAAATGTTTTCTGTCAGATGAGAGCTCCCATGCAGGTGTTAAAATACAGCTATAGAAGGCAGGTTCAATGGGGTTAACCTGTATAAATAAAGGTTGAATGAAGGTTGATAACATAAAAAAAAATGGTTTGAGAGAAGTTTGAAATTCCCAACAATGATATTAGTTGTTTTAAGAGAAAATGTGTGCCAAATGTTTGTAACATGTTCAAAATTCAAGCGACAAGACTGAGCCTCGGGAACTTAAGCAAGGAAGTTGAAACACCCCACAATTGTAACTAGACTTTCTAACTCCTCCCTCGTGTAAGCTGCTTGCCATCTAGTCACAAACAAGCACAACCCAGTGAGATGCTACCGAAAGATGTTAAGCTAAGAAGTTAAAATATGCTAAATTATGAAAAAAAAAAAATCTTTAAATGTATTAAAAAGTAACTTTGCAGAAAAAACCTTTTAACAATTAACTTGTCTCTGCTTAAACCTATGTGCTGTGTATAAAAGAAGCAGGCCAGCCTTACCTGGTTCTTTAAATCCAGCTTGGGGCATGGTCGCCCACCATTGAAAGCTTTTTCCCTGAGCCATTTGGATCTTATCTTCAGTCCACTGCCACAGGACGCACTGCAAGCTGACCAGGGAGACCATTCACTGAGCTTACAGTCGAGGGGGCAGGGGATATGGCAAACCTCCACAATGTAGCCTGAAATTGAACATTGGCAGACAAAGAAGGGGGTGGGGTGATTCGGACTTGTTTACCAGCTGCAGCAGAAACCACGTCGCACACACGCTCCAACAGCCTGTTTACCCCAGACCTTGGATTTACTGACTGTGACACTAACAGCTAATTATCAGACTAACGGGTGTTTCATTCCTACACTACGCTGTGGGCTTACAAGGGTTTGTGTACAGCTTTTGGTTCTAGAGTTTTACTTGTTTGCTCAATAACTCCAGTGAGCAATCACGATTTGTAAATCATAGCTCAAAATGTGTATTTTGTTTATTCTTTTAAGATTACACAGAAAAAAAACAGCACTCCCAGGAATATACAGCAACTTTCTTTTTCCACTGAAAAAGTTTAGACTTTTGCACACTCTTGCTTGTTTTGAGGAGTATAAAAAACAATTGGATGTGTAGATGGCATAGTCTTACCTGTGTCTGTACAAAACGTTGGGTTAACCAGGTGTCCCCTCTGGTCAATGCAGGCTACAGATTTGTAGCGCACGCCTTGGCCACACTCCTTAACCTCTCGATGGACCATCCAACCCTGCAGCGACTCAAAGACTAAAGGATTTGGGAGGATGCACGCAGACCAGTTCCCATAGGGCTGAGATAAAAACTCATCACAGGGACAGGCTTTTGTCTCTTCCAGTGGGTACAGCTCCTCGTTAAGGCAACGCTCCTTCTTTTTGCTGCGACCTAGGAAGAAGACCAAACAAAAAACAGCTTTATATTTTACTTTTTTATCATTCGGTAGATGAACGCACAAATAAAGTCTGAAGTCAGATTTGTCCTGTGGTGAGACTGAGGCTAAGCTGTTCAATGCATAAATATATAATACATATGTCACGCTCAGCGGCCCCCGCTGCCCCCCCATCTGTTTAAGCCTCTACTCCTCATACCACAGCCCCTGTTTTTAGATCATTCACATTTTTTCCTGCTTTAGTTTTGAGTTCCCCTCTGCTCTGCTTACAGCCACTAATCTGTCTGTCTCCCCCAGAGTGGTCCGGTACCAGTATCAGAACCAGAACCTCCTGCCAGATGCCACCGGTTTTAAAAATAAACTTTTAAACATTTAAAAAACCTTTTTCTGAGTCTGTGCTTGTCCGATCCACCCCTATCCGTGACATGTTGTTATATATGAATATATAACAGCTAATAGAAAGCCAACAAATACCTTTCTTCAGCTGAGAATGAACATAGTGATTACATATTAATAAAATGCAAGCCATTGTCAATTTTTGAATGTATTCTTAGCCATACATATACAATCTTTCAATTAGAGCAGGTTAACAGGCTAGAAAAATAGTTAATGTAGCAAGTATAAAGCTGTATCATTGTCACTGCAGTTATTGATACATATTTAGATACAATCAATTTTCACTACTTAAATAAATCCAAATGCTTCACAAGACCAACTTTTTGTTTCCTTCATTTTTGAAGGACAGTAAACTAATAAGCCACTTCAACTGATGGCACTTTGAAAAAGTAGACAGGTTTGGAAACTGTATTTTTTTTTTGTTCACTTTTCAATGTGAACCCTAAACCGCCATCTGAATATACTCAATTATATATAATAGACAGTAAAATGAGGCTTTACACATGGATAGAATGGCACTTTGTACAAAGTCTTAACAGGAGGCAAAGAAACATTAATGGCTTTTCTTTAGCATTTATATTAATGCATTTGAATATAGGAACATTCACTTTTTGAAAAGGTCATTAAGTTGTCTAAAGTAATGCACTTAAAAAAAAAAAAAGAAACTAAATATGCCTATTGCTTTACCGATGTGACAAAGTCAACTAAAAAATGTTGTAGATGAATGATGATGAGTTAAAAAAAAAGACACCAAAATGAATGGTGCACTGATTATTTTTATGGTAAATTGTGGACTCCCATTTTTATTCCCTTGATATTTATTTTGTTCAAGAGAAACATCATAAACGACTAGCAAATTACTCACTGTCAATTACAAGAAAACAATTCTATTTTTTTATGGGATTCAAAAATAACCCCAGGTTACATGTGATGTTGTTTGCTCTCATAAAAAAAAAAAAATAAAAAAAATCAATTTTTGTTCATCCTCCGTAAGAACCATGACAATATTAGTTATGCCACTAATATGAAGAAGGCATGTATAAAGTAATTTTCTTTGAAGAGGTAATAATAATCCTAAAATATTTACTGACCCAGATCTATGTGGTTGAAAAGAAAATACAGATAATATTTGTGTCTGTTCAGCTAAAGCTCTGTATTTAAAATGATCACATCTAGATACAATTACTAGTTATACAGTCATAACAGATACTGTGCGCTAAATCAGAAGAATGACAGTTGCTGCAAATAAATGAAAAGAAAGGCAAACAGTCAGAGCTCCTCCTTATAAAATATATATATATA